CCAATTTCCGCACACTATAAATCGGATGACACGTAGAGAGTGCAGGGAAGTAGGCATGAGAGAGACGCTGGAACAGCTTCTATTCCGCCTTATCCAGAGATATCAAGGGGCTTCAGAGTTCAAGGGACTGGGTGAAGTGTCAAAATTAGATTAGAAACAAAGCTTTACTCTCGAACAATCCTAAGGCTGACTGTGACTGATGTCACTGCCTATGTCTCCGCACCATATAGCAGGAAGGGAATAGGACTTGTAGAGTTTGATCTTTCTTCGTCCGAAGAGGATTAATGTATAGTAAATTGAATTAACTTGGTCTGTAGGCAGCCCAAAGTAGCACTTATTAGCAAGTGTGATTCTGCATTGGATTTCAATAAGGATTGTACCTTCTCTATTTAGCTTTGCAGTTCGTATTATTTTCTTCTTCCTTTGACGGGTCGTTTCCAAGATTTGGCGGATGGTAAAAATCTTGTCGATAGTAGATTTTCCAAGTCTAAAGCGATCTGATAAGGTCCAATCAGTTTGTTGACGGTGGGTTTCAGTCTTTCACATTCTACGCTCGATAAGGTCTAATATGCGATATTAAGCAGATAAATCCACCAGAAACTGGTGCATGGTGGTGCAAAGGGGGACTTTTTGTGAAATCGGGTTTGCCATCTCCAGATGTTACACTTTCACTGCAGTACAGCAAGCTGGAAAAGTGTTCCCTCAATAACGTCACTATGCTCTGAACATCAACCACTAGATCACCACATTAAGTTCAGCAAGAGTCCAGTCTTGAAATTTTCGGTTAGTCGCCGCATCTTTTCGTCGAATTTTCGCGCATTACCCCTGCCAACCAATTTCTCAAGCTCTTCATACTTCCGCAATTCGGCCTCTTTCTTTTTTGTTTGCATATGCGTTTCGTTCTCAGTCCTCATCGTACCAACTGTTCTTTCGACCKTTATGAAAAMCAAKGATTTCGCTTGGCGCSRTTACAACCTTAAAAGGTCACTGTTGTGTGTTCTATGGTCAATATTTCTTCAAAAATTAAGCCGGTCATAATGCTAAAGTCAATGGGAGCACTACTGACTCATCATTAAAGACGTTTTTTGTGGCTAAATTGGCGGTTGTGACATGAAAGACTTTTTGGTTCACGCCATACAGCCAAGCCCGAGACGACTGGCGCCTTAGAAGAGAATGTTCGGCGCATTATTTCTAACATATGTACTTGTACGACCTGCATTGCTGCACAAGTGGTCGGAATTAAAAATTTATTTGATGACTTAAAATCATTTTTAAAAAACGGCGGCAAATCCTTTTCTTTATGAGTAAGCTAAGTTCTTTGATATTTCTTTAAATTATATRTCTTTTATTTTTTCTTAGAAACTACATGTCAAACAAAGATCCTTTACATAAAAAACATGTACCTGTGTCCAGTAACATTTTTCTGTTACGCGCGCCACTGTGCGACAGTTCATTTCGCGGTACTTATAAGTGTTGTTGGTGCTTTGTTAATCGACAATGCCATAAAGTGATAAAGATGGACGCCAACAAATTGTCAATGGATCAAAATAAAATGATCTGTGGCCGGTACACTGCTTGGCGCTACTGTTGTTGTTGTCTTACTTATGTTGTTGACGAGTGGTTGCTGTCAAACTAGATAGCCGAACCARGCATGGAAAATCGGAGCCGCAGGAATTTGCAACTTTGTAAGGCAAATAAACTGTACATATRTACAAGGRTTTGTGTATGTATGTGTAGCTTTGCYGCTGCGACAGATTCCCTTCATTTTTTTGCGCAACTTTCGAGTGGCTGTATGCGGCATGCACCTTTACTGGCCTTTATTATAGCAGATATAAGTCCACACACACACACACATACATATGTATGCACTGATGAGTATATGTGTGCATATAGCCAGTGCATAGCTGCTCATCCGAGGCGACACTTATCATTGCATACCCGTTCTGCGTCCTTCAACAGCCTGTAGCGACKGCTGCTCGCCACAAAACGAATTTTATGCATTGATTTCTTTCTGGGATCGGGAAAAAATGCTGCCTCGCTGCTGCTATAATTAAGTTTTATAATTATAATTGACATCCTAGCGTAAAGCCAATTATTTTGTTGTCGACTTTTTCATGGTCAGTGCTGGCCATATACGACTGCACGTGTGCCTGTGCGTGTTGCAGGCGGAGCAGCGGCAAGTAAGGAGGATGTGTGCCCCACTKAATTTATGACGACTATGTGTTAACAAAAACTGCTTAGCCAGCCTGCCAGCGCGCGAATATGACGATGAACGATGAGCAGCTAGAGTGCGACTGCTCCTAGGCACGACTGCGCGTGTGTGTGTGTGTATGCAGCATGCCACATCATCCTTACTGGCATGTTAGTCGTCGCCACCACCGCCACCACCTGTCTCTTATACACATCTAGATGTGTATAAGAGCCAGCTCATACACACCAGCAAGGACAGACTTGTCTCGTCAATTGTGTTGATTTATATCGTACAATTATTTATAATTAAATTTTACTGAAGGCCAAGTGTAGTGAAACGGCAAAAAATGAAGGGCCGCGTCTAAAAAAGGCTTTGTTGCGGGGTGTTGGCGGTGGGCGGCGGCAAAGAAATCATGGAAAAACTACATTGTGTGTGTGTGGATGTATGTGCGCTGGCTTGTAAGGCAACATGTAATTATTAATCGTTATAAGCGCTTTCGTGATGCGACAGTCACGAAGTGAATCGCTGTCACCCAACGACAAAGGAGAAATCAGTGAAATTACGATTTATTTTTAATAAATTATCGAATAATTAATTGCTGAAGCGTAACAAAGTTTTAGTTTATAATGCATACATGTTTATTTTTAGATTTTTATGTTGTAAATTTATAGTTGCTTGAGAATGTGATGTTCGACTCGCGCTCGGATAGCCGACGAGCTTTCATTATACTTATAGTCTTAGCTAACAGTCAATTTACGTCTCAATTCGGGCTTAGAGATAGATATTTTTCGAGATATTTTTGTATTTGAGCTTGGGAATCAATAATTTAATTTGGTAGTACCCCAGGGATATTTTTCATATAATTCTGCAGGTTTAGATTTAAATAAAGTCTTAAGGCTGAAAAGACAGTGCAAAAAATAAATGTGTTACTGATACTCCTAATGTTTCTTGTAGAGACTTAACTAAGATTAGTATTTCCTCACAAGTCCTCTTCAAAATACTCCACAATTTCCTCACAAGAACTTGATTTTTATTGATCAGTTTGTATGGCAGCTACATGTTATAGTGATCCGATCTAAACAATTTCTTTGGAGATGGAGATTGCACCATTGCCTTCGACAATTAACCACACCGAAAATCTTGAGGATATCTCGTCAAATGAAAAAGCTTTTCATATAAGCCTTTTATGCCGTTGGATCAGCTTGTATGGCAGATATACATTCTAGTGATATATCTTGTAACCATGTATGTAGATGTACAGGTAGACCCGTTTCTAGGATAGTCGAGTCTACGTAACTGGAACGGATCCRGATTTTTTATCCAGTCAAGGACTATGTGTTAGGCAGAATTCAGCGCGACAACTACAACGCGGACAGGCAGATGAACATAGCTAAATCTACTCAGGTTGTCATGCCGATCTTTTGTTTATATGTTTCATAKSGTCTCCAAAATTTCTGACTAAGTGCTACAAACTTCGTGGCAAACTTAATATACTCTGTTCTGGATATAAAAAGAGCGCTGCATCTTATGACTGTGCCACGAAACAACCAGGTCCGTAATAGCAAAATGTTTCACAATTTCATAATCATCGAAGGATTATAAAACACAATACAATACTGTACCGCCTAGAAATTACGCTCTCATTTGAAGAGAAGCGCATGTGAGACATAACTTCTCCATGTTCTAAGTAACATCTTTACATTTTTTCGCTAGGCACTAGATAGCATATTTTCGATAGTTTTAACTCCACTTTGATAAAATGGCTGYCTAAAAGACGTCACTATTTTTAAAGTAAAGGGAACGACGAGGTAATATTAAGCTTGAACAATAGGATGGAGCCATGTGAGGAAAGTTCTCTGAGTGCCATTCACTTGGGATTGGCCAGAAACGATTCATCCACATATGTTTCAAGYAGCTSACGACTTCCGGTCTTAGATCAAGTATCTTCTGCGYAGCCAAAAAGCATTCGTTKGAAGGTGAGCTAAAGTGAGAAGACGAAAAAACCCTCCCCCAGGGTTGTGCGTTAGGTTTGAGATCCACCACGTAAAAAGAAAAAACATGGATGAGCTTTTAAATGCTACTCTGGTAAAATAGCTGACTATAAGACGTCAATAGGTTTAAAGTAAAGGGAGCGCGGAGGTAATATTCAGCTTGAACAATAACTATGTGCGATTTTGTTCTAAGAAACTATTATATTCAATGCAAACGAATTTACTGTCTTAAAGCTTTCTCTGGAATCAAAACAAGCAAGTAGCACAGGAATGTGAGATTTCACAACAAGTCAAACAGAATCTACCAGACTTCRAATATTTAATATCTGCTAGAAGCTTACATAACCTTGAAAAGCTGATTCTTTACTCTGCTCGAGAGCAAATAGCATGTTTTTAAGTCATTAAAGTAGTACTGCATTCGATATCAAAAGTATTAAGAGACTGACTGAATGTGCATATTTGCTGCACATTACACCCGCGGAAGCTTAGGTAAAGAGCAAGGTAGATAATAAACCAAACCCTCTACACCGATATCCTTTCAGCTTACAAGTAATATCTATTTAGTAATTCCATTAGAGCCATTTATACAATTCCAACCCAATCACAGGTTGCAAACACAACTCCCAAAGGGTTGCCGCACATCGTGCGAATACACCAGAGTTTTGCAATTTTCAATTTGAACCCAAAACCACCCGCTCGTACTAAAWAACCGCAACTTCCGAACGAAACCGGTTGGCAGGACAACAGCTGCGGCGGTGGAACRGCACATTTCTCGAATGGCTTGCATTTGAACTGAAAATAACTTCAACGGCACTCACCTGAGCATTGAAATCGAAGAAATACTCCGGCCGCAATGGACATGGTAGACCACACTTACAGGTACCCGGTGACAATAAATAATCCTTTATTTCGTACTGTGTACGCAACGTTGCACCGGTTGGGCTGAAAAGAGAACAAAAACACATTTGAATGAGTAAAGGAGCATGTTTTGTAGAGTTAAAAAAAAATGTAACAAATTAAAAATGTGTAAAACTTGCTAAGGACAWGCRACACACAAACATCTGTACATAGTAATAAGGATATTAAGCAATCGGTAGCAAACGGCGACACACGCCAGTGAGCACAAAATTAATTCACTCTTTACTTTGCGACATGTTTTCGAAAGCCCGGAAAGCCGTCTGCCAAGGCTGAAAAGGCAAGCGCGCAGGCAGGCGGCAAGTTGCTACGAGCGAGTCGTATTTGTCAATGTAGGCAGTTCTCGTTGTCGTACAAGGGGCACATGTAAACGCAATTTGAATTTTTCATTCCTTATTTGCGMTGCGGCGGCTTGTTCGATCACTTGCCACGTTGGCTGTCTGTCTGCGTGCCTGAGTGACGGACTGGCCGTTAGCCATTACAACTCCTTGGTTTGGCTCAATTTAAACTAATTACTTGCCTCACGTTTAATTAAGTCACAATACAACAACAATAACAGCATGGATAACCACACACCACACAATGTCATACAGCTGAGTGACGTCAGCGCTCACATGAATAACTGACAGTTGAATAGCATTGAGCGACTGAGAAACTGAGTCGTTGTTGGCAGGTGTGTTAAATGTTGAGTTGACATTTTGTTACGCGATTAGTCATGTTGCTGTTTCAATTAGTTATATCAATTTATTTCTTGAAATCGTAGATTATTTAATAAAGGAGAAAAGGTGCCATAATGAGCGCAGCACGTGTGATTAAGTGGACTGGTTTTTACGTTAGTGTAATTGAAAGTTTACCCCCTTGCACTCGCATATAATAAGTTGCTTTAAAAGTAGCGTAACATAACCTTACTTTTTGGAATTTAAAAAGCTATTTTGCTATATTTTTAATAAATCGGTAGATGGCGCTTTACGAGSTGGTTAAACGCAGGGCTGTCAGAAAAATTAGTGTAAATTGTTTTGCCAATCACAGCACGCTTACCAAGTCTGGGAGGAAATGAAAAGACACAACAGACCTTACACTTAGTCCATAATGAATTGAGGCTCCGAAAATGGCAAGACGCTTTCCGAGGACTAAAACCACGGCTCACTTAAAATCCCATTACCCAAGGAGGTTCAAATAATTGGATACACGAATGACATCGCAGTGATCGTGGTAGCTAAAGAAATAAAAAAGCGTCTGAGCAATCATGAGGCGACAGAAATCCAAGAGTGACTTATGGCGACAAAGCTTCAACTAGCTGGCCAAAAGATGGARGCAGTATTAATTAAAAGCAAGAAGAAGCTAGAGATCGCCACACTCAAAATTGATGGATATACCATTACGACACAGTAGTTACTAAAACATCTAAAAGTAAGTCAGTTCATGCTTATGTACGCTGCCCTTATATGGGAGACAGAACTGCAGCAGGAAACTTACTCATAAGAGGCGAAGGTTACAATCGGACTAAATGTTCKCAGGGTTGCATRTGCCTACCGAACTGTATCACACGAGGCGGCAGGAGTCATAGCGGGTCGCATGCCACCACACATAATGGCCATAGAAATTAAGCGATTATTCGATAAAAYWAAAAGGACTGTCACTCGATTAACGAARGAARAGAAGAAGCAGGAARGACAAAGGAGCCTAAACGATKGGACAAAGCAACAACGAGGAAGAAGAATGGRTAGAACGGAAACAAGGGGAAACTGATTTCTATCTTTCGCAGTTTTTGACTATATATGGTAAAGAATCCCGCTACAAATATGGACACAATGACGAAACAAATTTCCGCAACATAATCGCAGAAAACGCTTTGCATATGAAAAAAGAGATTTGCAGTAGAGAACACGATAAACAAATGATACATATAAAGGAACTATCAACTGCTCATAGTTCTGTAGCAACAGGCTCAAGCTATAGTCAATAGTACTTCAATGCGAAAGAATCTGAGATCATTACCAGACCAAAGCATATATTGTTTTTAWTGTGCTTCGAAGATAACAACATATGTAAGTCTTGAAGAATAATGTTATCAGTTGAACAAAGTTGTCTTCCTAACATATTTCATTACGCCATTATTTAGAATTGAAATCGGAAATAGTCGGGCAAGGATATGGAAAGTCAGATTCTTCATTAAGAGCCAAGCAGAGAAGTAGTAACATGGTAGCATTCATAAAAAAGTTCGGAATACTAAGATCTAATAGATATTATTTCTTCGACAGTTAGCGATGTAGAACTAATTTGGTCATTAKTTAATTTATTTAATTAATTTCTGCGTTTAGAGCATAAATTCTAGGCTATCTTGAAGTYTCGAATCAATTATATGAACATGCTTTTGGACAAGTATTAGTAGAGGTGACGCCCTTAGCGATACTCGATAAATGGAAAGAATAAAACTACAATTAAGTTGACTCTGGATGGCCACTGGATTTCATGAGAAGCATTTAAATGGCAAAAATGTGTTCCGAGTTGTCTCATCCCCTACTAAGGATGACCAATACTACAAAAAAAAAAAAAAGGAAAGATAGAAATAAGGCATAAGTACAGGCATAATGGCAGTATGCTCTTTCAACCTCTAAATCACGGTGAGCTCTTTTCACTATAWTCTTTGACATGTGTGTGGTATTGAAAAGCTGACTTGCTCCACATAATGAATAAGCCCCTCGACACCAATATTGTGTGATATGTGTGGTGAGACCATTAAGTTACTTGTTACCTTAACTTCATAATTATATGTAAATTACTTTTAATTTTCAAAGAATCGAAGTAATAGGACCGTGTGAAAATGCACCTTCATAAAGCTAATCACCAAACTTTCACCACAAATCCAACAAACAAGCAGGTTCACAACAAATTCCGCAAACCACCTGTCATATTGGGGCATAACTTTTTAATTAGTTAATTCAACAATAAAAGTTCGGCAAGAAACAACAGCAAATCGTATGAAAACACCCAATATACGAGAGTACCGCAGCCAATAGGCAGATGAACCACAACAAGCCCTTACATAACACCTTTGATATCAAATCAAATAAATGTTTGTWCTTGAAATAAGATGTTCACACTTTGCTCACAGGGAAAGGCCAGGAAGGCCACATAGCAGGGCAACAAAACAAATGTTCGAAGCGTATACGAAGTCAAAGTGGAAGTGTTGGTGGTAAAGTAAAAGTGCTTGTTTCTTAAGTAAAGTAAGACGTATGGCCTCGAGCGGTTAATGTCTGCGGCCTATCAACACAAAGCCACCGAACAACTTAAATAGCTGGCAGCAAAACTTGAATGAGCCCAAAAAGTTTGTGCAGGTCGACAGCAAAAGCTTACACGAGCAGCCACATAACCATAACGGTGGGTATGTACATATTTATATATTGCTGAAAGCACATAGAGTTTAGCCTTAAGACGTTGATAAGCCAGCTAAATGTCAAAGGAAGAGCTGGACAGACCAACAGCAAGGTGTTGGCTGAGCCAAGTAAAATCAAGAAGTTCTATTTAACCTTCAACTTAAGACAATGGCGTAAACAAAACAGCACAAAAGTGACAACCTGGATGTGGCACAATAATGAAAATAATAACAGCAATATTAAAAGGCACAACATTGTATGAACAGCAGCAGCAGCATAATGGAAACTTTGTGGTTAGGATGATAAATAGAAAGCAAAACAATAACAAAATATATGACAAAAGTTATTCATGCGACAATGAGCGTGGAATGCAATCGGCTGAGAACCGCAACCTATTAGTTAGCACCAAAACAGTAGAGTAAGGAAGTGCTTGGTGTTAACGAAACCAAAAGTTTTCTATGAGAGTACCGAAGAGATCCACCAACATGTATCATTAAAAGTGTCTAAGATATGAGGATACTTAGRTACAGAGTCTGATGGCACTATAAACAAATACGAAAATGTGTAATTCGTCTTTTCGATAGATGCTGATTTTTAGTGGATCCGAATAGTAGATTTTTTTTTTTAACCACGTGGCGTAGATGGTAAGTTTGCAGATTAATGAATATAAAGAAAGAGCAACATCAGTTTGTCATTAGATTATCATTGGTTTCGGACCAAGCAGAATGTCATGAAAAAAGTCCACCTTATTGTACCAGGAGATCTTTTTTTGGCTTCTAAGATCCATTAAGAGATGACGCGCTTTGTGCTTGGTTAAAAACTTGCCGCTGAGGTGACAATCTTTTATCCAATACTAATTCGCGCTACATTAAGTCGGCTGTCGTAGGTATATTTGCTGAATTCGTTAACAGTCGCTAATAAAGGGTCACGGATCTTTCGCTGTTGTTATTGTTGTAACAGGTAACTAACTCTCGTTAGGATGGTAAGGATTAGATAAGTCGTCGTCCATCCAACGGTAAGGCCAGGAAACGTGCCGTGTCGACCGGGTTGGACCAAAGGGAGATGGATGTCAGACCTGTGGGATTAGCAGGGCAGGTAAAGAGTTGGCTAGTGTCATGCGGGGACTCATTGCATGCTGGACTATGTTTGATATGTCAGAGTCTATACTGGGTAAGTAGGAGCTAACCGCTACAATATCCAGAACGCAGCTGCGCAAGGGTTACATTCGATTGTCGCGGAAATTCGAGCTCGTCGTCTGCAAAGTGTAATGGTTTGACTCCAAGTACGCTATACACGGAAAGGAAGTCAGTAAACGTGTTAMTAGCTYSACTGTGAATGGCGGACASTGCATGCCKGAAGTTCGTTGCGTCCGAAGTCTATGTCGTCGATGTAGATGAGGAAAAACCGCTTGATGCTCCTAGGAAGCGATTCCACTATAGCAAGAACTGTTGTCTGGGAGTATACGGGCCTCAGTATGCAGGCGTTCGATGGGAAACATTAAGAGGCATCCTGTCTAGTGCGGCGTAGTTAAGAACCGGCCGGCCGATTGCCTTGTATATTGCGAGCAACGTTTCTTTGCTTTCTCCCATGAGCTGCGCTAGCAACTTGAGCGGTCATGTGAGGAGTGAAGGAGCACAGGCTGTCGAAAGT